CATAATTTCACAATCATAATTTTATATTATTAATAGGCTAGTATTAAACCAAAACATAGCTTCTAAATCGAACAAACTACCATCCAAACACATAAAAAGGAGGATTAGACAATCCAGTTATCTCAATCCTTTTGTCATTGAAAGAATTATTATGGTCAACTAATGACTCCACATGCATCCACTAGCACCATAATACTTGATCAAAGGTTAATATGTATAATTAAACCCTTAATTGTCAAATCTTCTCACTAATCACCCCACTTAATAGCACAACTAGGGGTATCTATTATGCTCAAAACTTTAATTTAGCCCTAACAATTCTTCCAACACACTACATTAACGTTATTTAACATCCTAACACATAAACAACACCATTACATTACCCACATTGCTCTTAATCGTCGAATTTCTACCTAGGATTCGTCCAAACCTTAACCAAAAATTTTAAATCACTATAAAACCCATAAACTTAGAGTTAGAGGCTTGATTTAACTCCCCAAGACCTTAACTAAGATAATGAGTTCAGCCATTACCTAAGAAAATAAGAAATCATAGCCCCAAAATACCTAAATCATTAGAAAAACTTGCATAGAGGGAGAAGGAGAAGTGAAGGAAGCTTACCCAGAGCTAAATCTTGCTCCAAATGCTTCCAATATGGTTTAATGGTCGAGCCCTAGTGCCCATCAGTCGTCTCCTGTCATCTCTCCGCATTCTCTCTATCCCACTTCTCATTTTCCGTTTAATTTTATGATCTAATAAACGCAAAAATTTGAACATGTGCCGCAATGCATGGCTTGTCAACCATAGTGCATGGCACAGAGAACTCCACACTCATTTTAAATCTCTCTCCATGTCATGGCTCGCTCATACTTTGATCTAGCCCTCTTTTAAGACTATCCAAGGATCCATTAGCTACATTAATTTCCTGAAAATATTATTAACCAAAAATCCACTTAATTTGACTAAAATACCCTTATAAATAATAGAAATTCCTAAAATTAAAGTCCAAAATGTTACAATTCTTTCCTCCTTTTAGGAATTTTTCCCTTAAAATGCAAATCTCACCTAGTCACATACCTGCGAGAAAAGGTGAGGATACAATTACCTCATCTTGTCTTTAGTCTCTCAAGTCGCATCACAAGGCGCCATGTCTTTCCAAAAGACCTTAACCAATCGAATAGTCTTATTTCTCAACTATCAGTCTTTTACATCCACAATCCGCTCAGGTTCAGCTTTATATGTCAGATTTTCTCACAAGTCTACATCTTCTAGCTTAATGATATGAGAAGGATTTGAGTGATACTTCTTCAACTGACTCACATAGAAAACATCATGAACACCTAATAAACTCGGTGGCAAGGCAATTCGATATGTCGTAGGTCCTAACTTCTCTAAAATCTTAAAAGGACCAATAAACATAGGACTTAATTTCTTAGCTTTTATTGATCTTTTGATGCCAGTCCTTGACATGACCCTCAAGAACACAAGGTTACCTACTAAGAATTTCAACGACCTCATATGTCAATCCGTGTAGCTCTTCTGTCGACTCCAGGCTATCAACAACTTCTACTTAATCAGTTAGATCTTCTAGGTGGTTTAATCTTCCAAATCCAGACCTAACAAACTTCTCTCGCTTAGTTCCATCCAACACAGAGGCGATCAACACTTTCTTCCATATAAAGCTTTATATGGAGCCATTTCAATGCTAAAGTGATAACTGTTGTTATAGGCAAACTTTGCCAAAGGTAGATGAGTATCCCAATTACCCCTCAACTCTAGTGCACAAGCTCACAACATATCCTCCAATGTCTGAATGGTCCTCAATCTAGCCATTTGTCTGTGGATGATAATCCATACTAAACCTCCATCTAGTACCCATTGCTCTCTACAACGTTCTCTAAAAGTTTGATGTGAACCTTGAATCACGATCAAAGACAATGTCCTTCAATACTCCATAAAGCCTCATGATCTCATTCACATAAACCTCGGCATACTTTTCCAGCAAATAAGTCATCTTCACCGATAAGAAATATGCTGACTTCATCAACTAATCCACAATCACCCATATTTCATTATAGCCCGCTTGAGTTCTAAGCAATCTAGTGATAAATTCTATTGATATGCTGTCTCATTTTCACTCTGAAATTTCTAATGGTTATAACACACCATCAGGTCTTTGGTGCTCAATCTTAACCTTTTGACACGTGAGACACCTAACAATAAACTCTATCACATCTTTCTTCATTCCTAGCCACCACCACATTGGTTTTATATCCTGATACATCTTGGTGACGCCAAGGTGAATAGTGTACTTACTACGGTGTGTTTCTTCTAGGATTGTCTTCTTTATCCCCTTATCACTCGATACATAAATCTGATCCTGATAAGTCATATATCCATCATCATTGAATTCGAACTCTGTGGTTCTTTTCTCCTCAACATCGTCATAGATTCCTAATAAATACTCATCTTCAAATCGAGCAACTCACAATTCCTTCTAGAATTCATTGATCACCACTGTAGAATACACATTGCACAATATCATCTAAGGCGCTTTCCTTTGAGTATCTAAGAAAATCTCAAAAAGTTGATGTTCTTATATCATCATATGAATGACATGTGCTGCCTTCTAACTTAGTGCATCTGCTATGACATTAGCCTTACCCGGATAGTACTTGATCTTAAAATTATAGTCTTTGAGGAATTCTATCCATCTATGTTGCCTCATATTCAGTTCCTTTTGATCCACTAAGTATTTCAAACTCTTGTGATCACTGAATACCTCAAACAGTAAGCCATATAGATAATGTCACCATATCTTCAAGGCAAAAACTAACACTAATAGCTCCAGATCATGAGTCGGATAATTCTCCTCATGTGGTCTCAATTGTCTCAAGGCATAAGTAATAACCTGCTCGTCTTGTATTAAGACATACCTTAAGCCCTTCACCAATGCATTTGTATAAACCATATATGGTAATCAAGGATTAAGAATAACTAGAACTAAGGCAGATGTCAGTTTCCTTTTCAATTCTTGAAATGCCGACTCACACTTGTCAGTCTACACATATAGCTAATCCTTTCGAGTCAACTTAGTCAATGGAGACACAATTTGAGAAAATCCCTGAATGAAATGATGATAATATTCAGCCAATCTTTGAAAACTTCTTATCTCTATCACTAAGGTAGGTGGTTCTCATTTCAAAACAGTATCCACCTTGTGTGGATCTATGGCAATCCCTTCTGCCAATACCACATGACCCAGAAATTTCACTTTTCTTAGCCAAAACTCACATTTGCTAAGCTTGGCATCCAGCTTGTTGTCTTTTAAAAGCTATAGGACAGTATGAAGATGCTTCACATGTTCTTCCTCATCTCTTGTGTAAATATCTAAAATAAAATTAATTAAATATCATTCATATTTTATAAAAAGAATGCTCAATTTTTGCTCTAACAATATGAATAGGAAATCTAAATGCATATTGGGTTATAATTCATGTTGCGCTTGATATGGTCCAATCTAGGAGAGATATTGATCCACCAAGCCCTCTGGCCTCTAATATTAATAATCACAATCGGAAACTCCAATGTTGTTTGTATATATTGTTTATCACCATCATCATCTTGTCTTGCTCATGTGTGGTTTGTTTAAGGTGTGCTAGATGTGGTTTTTTTTTTAAATAAAGCACTACAACATTTTTTGTCTTATAACAACAATTGAAAATTATAGTTGAAGGTATGAAAATTGTTGCCAAAAACTAAAGGCAATATTTTTGAATGTATACCTATTTCAATGTGACCTATTGTAAAAAGCAACAGTTTTTGCACTCTATAGCCACACATTTCAAAAATTGTTGCTTATATTTTAAGAATAAATAACAAGAATTGTTGTGTATATATAAAATAGGAAAAATTTAAAATTTCTATCCATATCTGACTCTTACCACTTTTCCAAAGCCTAGCATGCCACTTGGTGCAAATTATTTTCCAAATATAGATTATTTTTAAAGTGGTTTTTTATTTTGACTAATTAATAATTTAAAAAATCAATCAATTAATTATTTAATTAATAAAAGTATAACAAAAAATATTAAAAAGTGTAAAAGTAAATAGTAGATTTTATATATAAAAACAAAACACACAACGGTTATTAAATGTTGCAAAAAAATATTTAAAAACAATAGTTATGTAATTGTTGCCTATTAGAAAGGGACCAATTTTTTGTTTTGAAAAAAAGAAGTCATTTTATAAGCAACAACTCTAATGTTACTTATTTCAAAAATACAATTCAACGATTTAAAAGTGTTGTCTATTTTATATTAGGCAATATTATTCAAGTGTTGTTAAATATGCGTTACTTAAAATGGTAATCAATTACAATGCTTAGAAAATATTGCTTATTTACATGTTAAGTAAAACTTTTAGAATTGTTACAAAGTGAAATGTTGTTAAAAGAAAAAAAATGTTGTAGTGATTAGTTTCTTAAGTTAAGTTAGTATCAATTATATGTCGATTTTGATCTTGAAATTTAATCTTTATATGAATCATGTCCTACAGTTTCATATGTAATATTTGATTTCATCACACGAGCAATTCTTTCTACAATTCATGAATAGCTTATCATCCTTAAATTAAAAATTACACCATGTATATCTATAATTATATGTCTTCTAGTCATAACAACTAAATATATATGGTGATGAAATTTTAAGGATTTGATTGAAAAATTAAACTTCAAAAATCAAATTAACAGTCAATCATCCTTTTACTTTTTTTAATGTCTATGAGGTGGTTGTATTTGGTTTATTTCATCATGTATTGGGTGGGTTACGGTTGGCCTGGGTGTACTTTTGGAGATATGTAAATTTTTTTTTAATAAATGAAAATCAAAATTTAGACTGGTCACATGCGCGCGCGCGTGGGCGCACAAGTGAAAGATAGTTAAATAACTAACTCCATGTCTCCATCACACTGTTTTGAGACCACCTCTGTATCGCACCACACTATTTCTTCCTTCTGCCGTCACTCTGCTATTTACCAATTCTCTCCATCTCTCATCGCCAGAAGAGAAAGCCACCGTCGGCCATGTCGGCGCCGCCTCAAGGACCACCCGTTGGCCCCTCGGGTGTCCTCATCGAAGCCAAGCAACGCATCATCAATGCCCACCCTCGTCGTCACTTCCTCGTCCTCTCTGTCTTCATCCTCCTCCCACTCTCTTTCACTCTCATCGTCTTCCTCACCCTCCGCCGCAACCGTCTCCTCCGTTATCTCGTCACCACCACCTCCGACATTCTCCTACGGCACATCTTCCAATTTCACAATATCAACTCCAATGTGCTTTTCTTCTCTCTGATTTACTCATTCTTCGTCTTCGTCTTCTCCCTCTGCGCTGTCGCCACCATCACCTATAGCATCTTCCACCGCTTCTCCGGCCAACCCGTCAAGTTCCGATTCTCTATCAAGTCAATATTCACTTCGTTCTTACCCTTACTGGGAACCGTCATCGTTTCACAAGTTATCGTCTGCTTAATCTCACTTGTGTTTGGGGGTTTCTCGATTTTGGTTTTCCGTGGAATTGAGCTTGTCGGTGTTCAAATTGAGTACTCTTCACCTTATTTCATCGGTTTCTCTGCTGTTTTCCTGCTAGCTTTCTTGTTTGTGTTGGTGAATTTGCAAGTTAATTGGACCTTAGTGTCTGTGATTGTGGTCGTGGAATTCAATTGGAGCCTGACGGCGTTGAGACGGAGTGTGGATTTGATCAAGGCAATGAAAGAAATAGGTCTTTCTTCGTTGTTGTTTCTTGTGATGTTTACTGGGATTTTGGTCTGGACCAGTTCTGTTTCATCAACAGGTTCAAATAATAATGAAGAGAAGAATTGGGGTTTGATCGTTCAAATTGTGGTAGCTTCCACTCTCATCATGCTGCTCCTGCTTCACAAAACTGCGTCCAATGCTGTGTTATATGCGTACTGTAAGACTATTCATGGTGAGCTTGCTCATGACATTGCTGAGGAATTCACTTATGTCAGCTTGCCATTCGATGATCATGGGAAAGTTCCTCATGTTGTGTCAATAATCCATGAGTGACAATGAGAATGAGGTTAGTGGTTTTTTTTTTTTTTCTCCTACCATGATTATCCCATTGAGTAAGATTCAAGCATTGTATGGCACAAGCAGTTCTCTCAAAAACATTTTTCACATATATATGATTTCAAATGCAAGACCTCATACTTAAACAGTTATATAGTCATTTCTATTATGAGGATCAACACTTTATGGTGGTTATTGATCCTTTTTTATGAGATTGCCGGAGAATTCACTTATGTCAGCTTGCCATTTGATGATCATCAATAAGTTCCTCATATTGTGTCATTAATTCATGAAAGATTATGAGAATGAGATTACTGGTCTTGTATATATATGCAACTATCTGACTCAATCAGATTCAAATGTTGTAAAGCTCAACTGAAAGTAACTCTCTCAAAAGCATTTTCAATATCCACATGAGTTGGAACACAAGACCTTGCATTTAAACGATCCTAAATGGCCATACCTCCTATTGGGGGTTAGTGGTTTTGTCATGAGGCCTCTTACTTTATAGTTACTATTATTATTATAGTTGAATATGGTTTATATATACAAAAGGAAAGAAAATCACACAAAGAATGAGGTTTTTTCTGTACAATTTATTGAAGCTGGAAAAAAAAAACAAGATGTGAGACTTGTGTGAATTAATGTATATCATATGGCAATGTTTTATTTTCTGCCCCTTTTATTTTGTCTCCCATTTTACCTGGTTGAAGTGAGTATATTAAGGGCCTAGAATTAAATTTGAAAGGAGCAGAGGATTTCCAAAACTCAGGTTCTTGCTGGAATAGAAGCATCCGTTTTCAATTTTCAGGCTTCAATTATTGTAATTGACAGGATCCTTACATCCTTATCACAATAATATTCACACTCTGGCAAAAAAGAAGTGTTGGTGCCTACATGTGATTTTTTGTTTCTAGTGCTTATGTGAAACTTGTTAGAATGGATGACTTTTTGTAAATTAGTAAATTGTGCAAAGCACCAAATGTGCTCTACACTCCTTGGCACAAGCATCAAAACCAGGAAAAGTTATTAAATTCTTTTTTCTTTTAATTGTAAGTAATTAATAAGCTAGCAAAAACTAACGGAAACTTTGGAAGCTCATTATTCTTAATTATATTGGCCTTTATCTCTTTCTTCAAAAGATTTTGGTTTACAAATATGAATTTACATGTGGGAAAATAGACATTAATTGTACTAACCTCCATATAGTTGGAGCTTCCTCAACCCAAAAGAAAAGGGTTGAAAATGTTAATCAACATGTGTGAATTAACATAGCAAGATATAAGAATTTTGAATTCATCCAAAAAAAATTTAAATATATACTTCATTCGACAAACTATAAGACATTTTCGTTGCTTGCAACTACAAGACAATTTTTATTGCCTAGTGTTGATTGAAAATATATGGCACTTTCTAAAAAGTTTTTTTTTTAATACAAAGCCATGGAAAATTATGCAAGAAAAAATTTTCAAATCATGCATACTATTTTTGAACTCAGGTGATGGATGTTAAAAAATTTTAATACAAAAATTATCATTTGAAGGTCAACGAGCTACCCAATCTACATGTTTATTAGCTTTTATAAATATATGTTCGAAGGTGGTAATCTAATCTCATATAGCAAGATTCATGATCTTCTCGACAATGTTGGTGAGAGGATGGTTCGTGGTGAACTTGCTTTGAATGAACCTAAATTTTGCAAAAAGTTGTGTATTAAATTCTTCTTTCTCTTATTAATTGTACGGTAGATAGAGATTATGTAAGAAATAAATTAAAGATAATTAAAATATATTAATTTTAATTGGAGGGTAATCTTAGCAAGTAGTGATAGTTTTTTTTACTATTTTAATAATATAAACTACTTTTTACTACTTTTCTTAATCTTTGCAAAGTAATTATAAGTGTGCTATACTCTTTTTGCTCCAAATTATAAGATAGTTCCAATCATATTTCATATATCAATAAAAGTAGTTATTTCCTTATTTCCATAAAAAAATGACACTTCCACATTAATTAATACAAGAATAAATTTGGAAAAATAATTTTGAGAAGTACTAAATATCCTGCATTTTAAAACAAATTTGACCAGAAAAAATATGTTATAATTTGAAGCTAATTAAAGGAGTATTTTTTATTGGGGGTTATGATTGTTTTACTTGTACAATTTTACAACGTGACACGGACAGATCTTAATACACCAATTCTTTACCAGGACATAACATGTATACATTAATTTGACCGACCACTATATTGATATTAAGATCTAATGTAGCTTTACTCAAACATGATATATTTGTACAGATTCCAAAGAAAATTTGGATATTTTGATTCAATAATGGATTTTTCTTTAAATTACAAGCGAGAAGCTTGCTAGTGTTGAAAGAATGCAAAAACTAATTAACTGAAACTTGGAAGCACATTATTCTTAATCATATTGGAGGAATAGCGGGAAGCTCCCAGTATAAAAAATTAATGCTTAATGTAGTTAACAAGAGTATTAGTTTTTCCTAATATGATATTCAAAATCCATGCATTTAGAATTCTTTATTTAGAGAGTGTAAAAAATTTTAATAATAAAAGAGAGATAAGTTAAAATTCAAAACAAAAACAAAAATTGAAAGTAATGAGCTTATCTCTATTTTTCAATCAATGAGAGACAAGATCAAGGAGTGACAAGAATAACAGAGGTATCAATAGTAAAATTTTGAAGAAAATGAGAGTTGAAATATATAAAATTTCAAATAACTAGAGTCTAGATAGAATATAAAATTAGAAAAACATTATAATAAAACATGAATATTTAATTGTTATATATTCAAATAAAGAATTTAATTTAAATCCAAATTCAAATATTAATCATCATGCATTCAAATGCAGCCTTAACTTTTTTATCTGGTAGGATTCAACCACATGTTTTGATTAACATGGATTTAGTGGTTAGTGAAGTAGAGTGGATGATGCCATGAGAAACTTTTTTTTTTTTGGTATAATCTAAATTGTCAATGGGTTGGTGGTCATTTTGCCAAAATTAGCTTGCCTAATGTATAGCCACTTGAATAGCAAGGAAGAATTCCGTATTGACTCCTTTTGGGAAATTATATTGAAGAATTAATTGTGTTTTACGTAATCTTCATGGGAATATTCCCTCATCAAATCAAGCAAGACGATGAAAAAGATGTTGCTTGTGTGCAAGTTAACCTTCATTCATAAAATCTGTACTATAAAGCAACACAATGAGATGAATGAAATGTGATGAGAAAATTTCAACTTTTTTCCATCGTGACTTGTGTGTGTTAGTTGTGGCAGCTTCTTTTTCTGTCTTCATCCATTCTCAACTTTAACAAAGCTAACTGTTCTACATTATGGCCAAATTTTTCTTCTTAATGATGTAAAAGAAGCATGAAGAATATATATATATACACACATTAACAAGCAACTATACAAATTGGCTCCAAGAATTGTATACATTTCCTTTTGTCATGGTTGTAGCAGCGGTTCTTAAAAAACCGCTACCAACAACCATGCCTATATAAATGGCAAACCTCTCCCATTTATCACTTTTGGCAAATTCCCGTGGCATGCTTCCTCTGGAAGTTCTGTCCAGTTTTTTGTAGTGTGTAATAACTCCATTTAAACTAAAAAACTGTTATGGTTAAATTGGGTTGGGTTAGAGTTGAACCATCATTGAATTAGAAACCAAAGTTGAGCTAGATGCTAGTAAAAGACCGCTTCACTTTTGGACTCCTCATATGTATATAATATAATTTGGGACTATTTTTTTAAAAGATATTGACAGCTATAAATGTAAATACATATACTTTCAAGTTTACTTATATCGAATTTAATCAAGATCTATCTATATTTAACAAGTCATAAAATTATAATTTATATTACTATTGATTTGTAGCCATGTTGTATTATTTTATTAACGACTAGACATATCATATTTCTTTTTATATATATATATATATATATATATTTTATTTAATTATTACGTTATCAGTATCGATCTAATTGATTGAACTATAAAAATCAAAGACATGCTAATGTTTCTAGTTTAAGATCCAATCCCATTTTAAAAACATGAGATAGAGGATGATGAGCCACACAATTCATATAGGCAACATCACTTGGTGGGATAGGACATTATCATCATTGTCTTCGTCCTCTTCTTCTTATATGGGTGCTACTTTTCTTTTGTAATTCTTTCAGATGTGTTGAAAGGTTTCTTGTTTGATTTTTTGAAATGTGTTTAGCATGTGTTTCTTTTCTTTGTTTCTTTCTTTCTTTTTTTTAGGGGGGGGTTATTTGAGAAGAACTGACTTGTGCTTTAAAAAGATCTCATGCCTCGAAAGATTCTGTGATTTTATCTCTTCATCTTAACGCAATCTTGCTGCTCAAAAAATTAAATACAAAGAGGCCATCGATTCTTTGCATTGCCAGCTTCATTCTTTTCAATCAAGATTACTTTTGGAACATAAATCATAAACTCAATTACAAGTTTCTTACATTAAAAAAATGCAAAAAAAAAAGTCAAATAGAAAAATCGTTGGACGAAGTCAATCATTTATTGACTACACAAGCATATTTAAAGGCAAATTTATTAAGATGTGTCAAAGCATTAATGGCTCAATGGCCCCAAACTACCTCACATGGGAGAAGCTGCCATTCAAACTTGATAGGTTGCACCTCCCTGTGAAAACCAAAAAAAAAAAAAGAAAGAAAAGAAAAGAAAAGAAAAAAGTTTAGAATTAAGGTGCAAAAATAATCAAAAAAATTTTCTCCAAGAACTTTCAGTATCTTTTAATCAACAATGGTATAAGAAGGAAGAAGATATTGATGACATTACACATGGGTTGAATGAGATGATAAAGAAGCTGAAGATGACAATAGGAGCTTTAATATTGTTTTAAGTGTTCCTTGTAATATATTTAGTTGCTCCTTTGTTTATGAGAATGTAGTATATTTTTATAATGTCATGTAGACCCTTTATGCTTCTGTTTGAGACCATTGAAGATTAAATTAATTGGGACCTTTGAATTTTTGGAATTTTATAATAAGATGGTATATATGAAGGATTGGTCATGTGGACCTTTTATGCTTATGTTCCTTTCTAAGAAGAATTGTGTCCTTATGCATTTATGATGATGGCATATCTAGCCATGTTTATATGTACCATATGTACACACCCATACATATCTAACTAAGATGATGAAGATAGAACAAGATAAATTGATGTTAAAATAGAAAAAGGAGACAAAGAAGCCTTTAAAGGTTGGCCAATAAGATAATAACATTAATTAATATTGTTATGAAATTACAATATCTTAGATGATGACTCCATACAAGGCCAAAGCAGCTAAACAAGGCCACAGCTAAATGATAGATAGCATACAAAACAAGGCCAACATACAAAAGGCATAACAAGGCCATAGGTCTATACAAAACTCAGAATGGTGCCAACAAAAAATTTTGCCATATACAGAATGCCTCTTTACGAAACATACCAAAGGTAGGCCTAACACACTAAATGACAGTCTCTTTTCCCTTTGATCTCAGCTATCCAAGCACCCATTGCCTTTGACCTTCAAGATAGGAGCCACTGACACTAGGATTCCCCTGCCATCTTAAACCAGACGGTTTGAATGGGAGGTTTAAGTATTGACTAACATTTCTACTTAAACCTCTTAAGGCAATCCTTCTAATTGGTGCATTAGCCACTATTTGCTTCTCTCTTCGCAGTTGACTCTCATTTGGGATTGGGAACCTTGTTTCTAGATTAGCATTTTGATGCATATTCTCCTTAGATGTGCCCTCTTCAAGTACCACCTTAGATGGCATTCTAGGCTGCACATGTAAAGTGTCATGTGTGTTATTGTGTAAAATCTAAGGAAATGTTAGTCAATAACTACTACAAAGCTATAAATTAAACTTACATTGTAAATCGTCCTTCTTATAGCTTCATCAACTTAGATCCCTATGCCAACCTCAATCCTTGGT